TTCGTTGTCTATGAGTTTATATCTCCCGCCCACTTGATGATGGCCTTTTGCTTTAAAACCTTTTTGGGCTGCTGAGCCATCAATGAGGTTAGGGCTGCATGTACAGGGCAGCTTTAAGAGATGTCATACTATATCGTTGTAAGGCTTAGCCTCTCCAATCCAAAGACCTTAGGCACCCACACAACTTCGATCATCGGTGTCTCCGTAGCATAGCAAGAGTTAGCTGGCTGCAGCTAACGGTGCGTCGGTGCGTACTTGGTCACAGTCATAATCGTTAGAAAACTAGTTTAGCCTAACCAGGTTGATGTGGTCTGGACACGCATTACGTATGCCCAACCACCGTCTACCCAAGAAGCAGTACGTATGCCCAAACACCGTCTACCCAAGAATGCCTTGTTTTCCCTTCCAAATTACTGTCGGCGAAAGGTTCGCGGGGAGCTAACCATGACACAACGTAAAATGAAAGCGGCCGTAGTCAAAGTGAGTGTTGTAGGATCTCCGCGCTTTCTCGGTTTCGGTCCGCGTGAACCTGTTTGCACGTGACTGGAACGTAACCGATCCTGGTGGCGTGCATGCTGTCATTTCCAGCAGAACTGCTTAGCTAGAGTCCACATGCCGCTGTGTGCTGGGCTTATGTAGGGTGAGGTCCGCGAGGGACAGTGGATAAATCCCACTGACCTTAATTCCACATGATGCGTAGATTAGTTTGTTTTCATTGCTGTCCAAAAGTTTAGGCACCTTATCCTTAGTCGTTTTCCTTAAGGATTTAAAGCTTCTTCGCACCAAGTTCCTACAATACTTTTGCTTTCCACTCTTTGCTAAAGATATCTTGCTTCATGTTGTATGGCAGGTGAGAATCAGTATGTACTTCCGGTGTATGATGCCCATGACGATGATGACTATTGGTGCAGAAACCATCCCAAAACACCTTTGGAAGTGAGGTTGTGTCAAATCACTTTCTGATCGCATACCAAATTTTGGAGTACTCAGACAAACAATATATTATTTATTCGGAACCTCCATCAACCTTCTAACCGACCAATTGAGTGCAGTTAAGGAATAGAATTGCGAATTCTGATGAGTTTCCAGTCCATGTGTGCCGACCGATGTAAAGCTGAGCACAACAGACTGACTACCAGCGTTGAATACGTAAAATTAATGGGTGTCAGCATGCAAATGCTCCAAAAAATCATGATAGGACAAAGGGTTGTGCACATTGTTCTACCTCCCGAAAAAAAGACGGAACACTGTGTGACATAGTTTAGCTCGGGGAAGTTGAGCACCAGGAATCGTCTGTTTCTACTTTTTGTCTGGTAGGCTGTCATGCCGAACGGCTCTTCTGCTCTGGATCAGATGGGCAGGACTTTGACTGTTTCTTGAGAATACTCCCTTCACTATGAAGTCGAAACTCGCACACGTTTTTCGGTTAGCGACCCCGTTTGCGCTAGGGCTCCGACCACACACTAATGGCAGAGAATCGGGCTTTGCCTTCAGTCAACTTGGCACACTTGGACACACACCAACAGGCTTAAAAATCATGAGTGAGGACTTCGTGCAGTGGAATGTTGCTGAGGCATGCGTGCATAAAAATACCCCTGCAACGGTTGGAAAAAGTTTGGAACCGATTGAGACGTCACCGTTTCAGAAGAGCTCGATAAAAAACTACCGATCATTTATCAAGCCCTTCTGAAACCCCTGAAACAGATTCATCGGGCGTCCCAACAAATTGGTGAGCGGCTTGGATCTCACGAGGGGGTGTACAGCCATGCACGCAGGCTGAAGTTACTTTAAATTTGCATCAAGATGATGAAATTACCATCGATGCACCTCATGAACGGTTTCAGTACACCTTTTATCCGATTTCGAAAGAACATAACGTTAAAAAGGCACAGATCCTGCCAAAAAATCCTTCTGGCGCAACGCTAGGTATAACCCAGTAAATTCAAGAGTTGTATAGAAGTACCATCCCATGCCTTCTTAACTTTTGAACATCTGCATGAAAAGTAGATCAGAATAAACTAGTGGGAGACTGCCCCTTGCCTACAGAAAGCTGAGCGCATGTGCAAATTTCCCTTGGGAAGCGAAACCGTGGCACTCATGGGTATGGGCCGGTCCCATCAGTAGAGGCACGGGCTGGAAAAATTCGACCCATTGGAGGGACTAGTGACTATTAGGAGCACTACTGAAGATGATCTAGCCGCTGATTAGATTGCGCCACGCAGAGGCCATTATGGGAAAGCGACCTATTGGCTATAGCACAATAGATTATGGCTGACCAGGAGCGGCGATATGCGCCCATCAGTGGAGTGTTATCTCTTCGGAGTTGTTTCAGTTGGGGAGAGGGTAATGTAGACACATTTAATTGAATAAATGTATCGTTGATCGCGTACCTCGTCCTCACCTATATCTAAAGTTAAGTAAAGCTGACAATATGGTATCAGACTGATCTGTTCTACGGAAAGGATTAATGACGTTTGTGATTGAGGACCTAGAGCATCGGAGTGAAATCCGATAGCCTGTTCAAAGGTAACTATAATGTGGAAAATGAAGAGAAAACGATTGCATACCACATGCTTTAGTTTAGACCACGCAACTGACAGTAAACTGAAAGGCTTCAGGCAAGGTGAACCACTGGATACTATGGTCTTGGCACCAATCTGCCTCCCCGTGTCTACGAACGACATTGCAGGCAAGTAAAAACCATGGAAGACGCAGTCCTCAGAGAGACGCTTGAGTTTTCGCCGGTATTGTGAAAATGGCATGAAATTTTCTTGAAATGGGCTAATTTTAAGCATTCGACTGAATTCTGTATGTGGTCGAAGAAATAGCGGTCCCACTTTTGAAGTTGCAGAGAATTTAGCAAAACACTGATTACAGTGATCGTGATTCTAACGATTTAAAGGATATAACCGTGCAGATGCTGCCACAGAAATAAATTTGCCGTAACATGCTGGGCTATGATACTACAAGCAATTATTGCATTCACACTGCACTGTTAACCTTACCCAGAAGATAGTCGGATACAGAAAGCCAGTATGACAGGCGCACCAGATCGTACACTAGGCACGCTGACCACCATAGTTTGTTGCGTGACTTTGCACGCGCGGATAACATGCAAGTCAGCACAAACTCGAAAGTTGCGCGATACCGAGCCGGGGTGGACTGAACACTGGACTGCACACGAACGGTAATAGGCAACAAAACATTAATGGTTGCGCATATGCTGGTTGCCACTGCAGTGACAGCGCTGTACCAACACATCAGAATGCCAGAACAATAGACGATCATCCTCAGTACGCTGACCATGACTGTTCGAATGATGATGAAACGTTTACAAATCAGCTGAAAAGCTTGTTGAATAAATTAAAAGTTAGTAATTATGATTACTAGCTACTACATGGAGACCTTAATGTCGGATAACCATTCAAGTCAGGATAGCCTGATAAACACAATACGGATGGACGCAATCTGCTGCCGATGGACCAGGTGGTTAGAGCGCGAATTTACTGACCGGAAGGTCCGTGGTTCGAACCCGACTTCTGCCTCTCGACTTCTCCTGTCTAGGCTTGGGCAACCTGGCTGTATCCCAGCCCTCGTGCTTCCTTCTGGTGGCATGGCAGCTAGGCACCGGAAGGGCGCTACAGCTGAACGACTTTTTTTTTAATCCACACATACTCACTTCCTCCTTAAACCCAAAGTGCTGCTGTTACACGCGATCATTCTAGTAAACGTTCCTTTGGTATGCGTGTCTTGTCCTGATACCAGACTAGCAAAGCGAGCTGAAACTCAAAATACGCCGAGTGGTATTCGTATTCATATCACTCAGTTGAGAAGTTCACTTGTTCTTGTACGATTATTCTGGTTGGTCCAAAACCAGGGGACCTGCGCTTTTATCTTGACAAATCCCGTCAGTACTGCATACGTCTAGCTGTACTGGAATTGGGACTAGTTACCGAAAAGTTAGTGGCCAGCATACACGTTGTTGATAAACACGAGGCCTTTGATGTGGAACAACTAGAATAGTGGAACCACGGGACGAGAGGGACAGACCATGTGATACCAATATGGATACACATTCGACATACCCGCAGCTACCTTTAGCTAGTGATATCTATTTAATCTTGTTATCCATCCCGTATCGACTGTCTTATTAACAACTTGGGCACCCTCGTGTGATGGGAAGGTTGAACTTATGTCATTTAACAAGCGAAAAGGGTCACGATAAGCATGAAGACGTCCTCTACTGAAGTCACGTCAACAGATTAGACACGAAATAAAACTGTTTTTAATGAAGAACGAAAAGCCCGCACAGGTGTTTGAAATATTACTCTAGAAAGCTGTCTAACAGACAAACAACCCCAAGAACAAAATAAAAAATTTCCCAGAATGAAGACCTTTTTGACTGATGCCCGAAATGGTGGAGTGGTGAAACCATTGTACCAGCCACAGAGGAAAACTAAAGGACACATTGAATCGATTCGCATAAACAGACCAGGCCTCAAATAATACTCATTTGAATATCAATTGGGTTTTCACGGGAGAATAAACTAAATCTCCCGTTTGTGATATTCTTCATCAAAATATCGGGGAGAATGCAGGGAACTGAATTCTATCAAAAAAGCTTGTTTGGGTCTATTTAGTGGCAAGTTATGAGCAATTATTGTTTGTTCCTAAAAGCGATAATTAACCACTTGGCTAACTAGTAAAAACGCGTTTCGAGGGCCTAGCCAAACGTCCGGTCCATAGCAAGCACTGAACTGAACGAACCTGATGATAATGCTTGTGGGAGCTTATTTTACTCATCATTATGGACAGTAGAAAGCGGTCCTTCGTTGATGAAATATTACCTCAAAATGTTGAGTTAAGGACTATCCAGCCTAGTACGGAAAAATAAGCTACGAAATGCAAACAACTGCTTGGATACTGTCGTGAAAGAGAAGCAAATTAGTCGGAAAGTCATTACGGTAAATTACATTAAAAGGTCAGCAAGTGCAACTTACAGCTGAGTATCGATTTCATCCAATTCGCGACCAGATACCATTTCCTTCATTTCCTTTTCGATGATTCTCTCAGATTGCTGTGGAGTAGATTGAGGAAAGGCTAACCTCACCCAAGAGCCCAAAATTACGGTGATTGCCAACACAAATTAAGGGGTGAACAGCGTCTTATTTCGACAGCTGACGGGACAGGTCATGTTCCCATTGGATTGAGAAATATATCGTACTTTTTGAAGCCTTGCGCACTCCGCTTTATCAAGTTAACCTTCAAAATTTTCACAAACGACTGAGAAGTATCCTCTACACAGAAAATGGGTCTAACTAGCTGACAAAGATTGCGAAATGCCCAGTAAAACAGATAACTGCGCCCATGGGGATGCTGTTGAAATATAGAAGTATTACTGAGAATGAGTAGGACTCTATTAAAGGTCCCATCGAACCGCAGATAGAACAGGCATGGAACGCGAGCATTAGGCAACGCATTTTCATCTAATGTGATTTCCGTTAGCACACAAGCGACTAAAACTTCTCCAGAAGTTTAACATAACGGCTCGTCACTTTTGTAAGAAAGTGTATGGTTTCGTTTTTTCCAAACGTCTACCTTAGCAAAACTTCAATGCAACGGGTCCTTCATTAACAAGCAGTTTGGCTGCAGACCAATGAAGCGAACGTGCTTTTCGGGCATTCTTTATGGAAAGATGCACACCGGAATCCTGGATACAATCACTAGTGTGTCAACAAGTCAGGGCACACTCCACCAGTTCGTCTTTTGTAAAGCAACGAAGAAAGCAGCACTAGAATTGGAGTTCGGTAATGGACGACATTGTCAAAGACAGAGTAAGTGTTTATATGCCTTCGCTTGTTGGTCTATCTACCGGAGCTAAAAAACATTGAAAGCATTTCGCTGTCACCTATGTTTAACAGCATAGCCGTGATACCACTCACTGCGTTTCCAGTGCTTGGAAAACTCGACCGTCATACCGTGACGGCTGCCGGAAAACACGACGAATAAGATGCTGACTGGCCTTCGAACCCAGAATCGTTGTATTTGGATGGCAATAAAAACAGCCCTTCACAAACTATCTAGGTTGACAACTTACAATTAAAATGAGTGTATGGAGAGAACTACGCTAATCGCCTGGATGGACACCAGTCTGTGGGAATGTGGTGCACTTACAGTACCATATGTCATGTCCTTCAGTGACGTTTACAGTGGTCCAGCAGTGTTCTGAGCGAGAACCAGGCTGAAAGTTTGAAACAAACCTTGCCTCCTACATAACGGTAGGTTTGCTGTTTGAAGGATACCTGAAAAGTCGGCTCAGTGCGGTCATAGACAGAACGGAACAACTCGGTCTACACGTGATCCACGAAGTCCGCCATTAGAACCACTAGTGGACTGCCAATGAGGTAGATCTTGTAGCTCACCGCCGCGCTTGAGCAGCGGCCATTCGAGACATATCTGAAGCCGATTAACTGTGTATCAACAGTTTGTCACTTCTAAGTGCAGGGGAAGTCTGTGGTCGTTGATCTGTTCGCGGAGATCGGCAGTAAGCTTGCAAAAGTTCGCCGATCGAGGACACATCATCAATGAGCGGTTGGGTGGGTACACCGAAACCAATTGTCGAGTTCGGCTAACAAACCGACAGCCACCTTATCAACTACGATAAAAATGATACAATAAACATTCCTCGTTTCACTGAAGGGAAATCACCGGTCGATTATTATGTTCAAAAGCTGATACCGTACGCGCTGCTGATACGCTTTCCCGCCAAATTAGTGGGCTTTTCTAGATAGGCTTTGACTTGACCAAGCAAGTAATTTAAGGGAGGTGACAACGATGGTGTTAGTTCACTACGTTGCATAAGTGTTCCGGTCACAGATATTCGAGAGTATTGGATGTCATTCACTCGAAACGCAATGGGTTTCATCGCACATCCACAAGGACTGCCTTGAACATCAAGAAACAGTTCACAGCATATAGTCTTTTTAAGCTCTTCTTGATCGGCCTTCCAACGAGGAAACACCTCACCACGGAGATATTTTGGTATCTCCAGAGATGTTTCCTTGGAAATGAGTGTATTTTAGCTGTAACGCACGATACGACTGTCGTTGCTTGATTTCGGTGCAACTGGTAGCGGTTCGTTTTAATTTGCCGATATGGCTAACTTCGTTGAGCCTTTGGCTTCGGAAAAGTCAGTCCCACGGTGCTTCTGGTGCTGGCTAACCACATCTTATTTGCGAACATGTCAAGATGCCCGACCTAAATTGGCAACGGAAAAAGCAAAAGACAGTATTCATCGACTATGAATCCCACGTGTTGCTCTGACCCACGAACAACGCGATCCTTTGTACATGGTCATTGGCTTCATGTACCAGATATACATACACACATAGTTCAGTTATAACACCCTTTCGGTGCCTAGCTGCCACGCTGGGATACTGCCAGGTTGCCCTAGCCTAGACAGGGGAAGTCGAGATGCAGAAGTCCGGTTCAGACCACGGACCTTCGAACCAAGCCCGAAACCTAAGTGCATCCTAGCGAAAACACTCATTTGCAAACAATTTTGGTTTCGTCCAATTACGTGGTTTTAAGTGGAGCACAAGGTTGACGGAAACTCGGGGACTGCGGCTAGCTGACGAGCCCTAAGAAGGGCGAAACCGGTCGTGGGCTGTCGAAGGATTTTCAGCAATCTTAGGAGTGGTGCATTACTAACTGCATCCTGTTTATTGAATCCGCCATGCTGTATAACCACTGCCCGCACTGTTACCTTCAGACTTCGAAGTTTGTTACAAAATATAAACTGAGATGAAGATTTATAAACAGTGACCACAGTGAGTCTGTTTATCAGTGATAGATCAGGGTAGATGTGTTCAACTTTCGTTTACATGAAGGTCTAGTACGCTAGAAATCAGACACGTGAATTTACTTCACGGTGGTTCGGTCATTTGAGCGGAAGTACTGTCACTCAAATGCACTTGGCGCACAAGGCAGTGAGAGAGTAGCGTTACGTTAACGAAGCCATACGTGTTCAAATCGGCTTTCCTGTGTTATTCCACTCCAGTAGGGGATATAGCCAGAGTCAGTCTCTCGTCATCATCATCATCATTATCAGCTGTGAGAACTGCGTACTTGTCGTACAGCCACAGTTTCATCCACCGATGATTTGGGGAGGTGGGGTAGGTGGCTGGGCATTGAAGGCGGGATTTGACATAATTGGTACCCAAATACAGTGGACTTTTAAGGAGGAGGTATGCATTGAAGGCAATAGCCTGGATGCATGAGAGCTATTGAGGGCACGACTGGGTCATGTCTGACGATGTCTGTGTGTGTGTGCGCGCGCGCACCGTCTCGGGGCCCAAGGAGACAGCGAAGCTGAGTTTGCTGGTAATGGGGGTGTGAAGACAGTAGCGTTGGTTTCCCCAGGCGATCAGTGGTTCGATATTGACAAAAACACAAATAGTGTCTTCCTACAAGGGTTGTAAGAGGTAGGCCACAAACTGAATGCCAGATGGCTGGCCGTAAGGGTCGGTAAACTTAAAAAGGAATGGCCATGTGCATCATTATCAGGCGCCCGACTTCCATACTTTGCTTTACGAGCGCTCCGCTGCCCTGTTGATTAGGCATAAGTGTCGAAGATTCACGATGACGTACATGAAGCAAGTCCCTGTGTCCAGCTTCAATACACAAATGAGCAACTCTTACACAGCCCTCACCAAATGTCAAAACAAGCAAGCCACACTTGTGAATTGCAACCTGAATTATGAGAACTTCGTGGGCAATGAAAAACCGGTCATACGCAGCTCCACGTGCAGCTGCTCAGGGCAGGAGTATTGCGAGTTAGACTCCCATTTTCACTCTCTGAGACCTCGGGGTAGCCAAGCCACAAATACTAAGTGATTCAAACTTTTAAACAGTCCATATGGAACGGTCTGTCACGAATATCTGTTCATTGAATTTCTCGTCATGTTCGACATGATGCACGTGGAACTCCTGAAATAGTTCTGCGTGCTGGCAGCATGAGGAACACTATCAAGGTCAATCCACTGTGAACGTTGAAACGGGATATTTTAGAATATGCGACGCCTTTCATCATCCATTAAATTAGGCAGATAATTTGATCTTAACTTCCAAAAGAAATCCAAGATTTCCCTTTTCAGTCCATCCAGGGTATTGAAGAGCTTGTCCCAGCTATAAACAGTGCTCTACTTTTGTAGAAAAAAACGCCATTCAGAATCACTCAGTCTGTTTCTTACTTTGAAATACGGTAAATCGAATTCGTAAGAAAATTCCATTTAATAAGAACCTTGAAACAAACTACTCATGCGACTAAGAACGCCTACACTATGACCTTGAAGGCTTAGTGATTAAATCCGAGAGAACAACGCACATCGAGTGTAGGTCATGGTCAATAAGATGATCTTACATGCACCTCGTACTCTAAATGAGCAATATGGTGTTTTAAATATTATGTGAAAATAAAATCCAACTTAATCATAAACTCAAAGGGTAACTGCCGTGAGTGGTAAGCGCTGATAAATTGTATTATCTTAGTTCAACAGGAGTGGATACAATCAAGAAAAACGGATAGCTTTGATGACAGTTCGCAAACTACATGGCTGAGGTCTAAAACTTTTTCCCTCCAAAACGCCAAAGTGACGGAAATTTTCTGTCCGCTGCCATCCACAGGTAACACAAAGAACGCCCGCAGAACTCAGGGTGATACGGGACTAACGAGCAACCGGTCGTAACGAGACTCTTGGCGTTACTTGTGCTTCGTCGCCTTATTGTGGCTCTTGAAACACTAAATCCAGGGCAACAGACAGGATTACGGCCTGAAAGAGTTGGTTTTGATCGAACTTTCAAACTCCGTCAGGTGCTAGAACAACGTCATACGTACAAAAGACTCATAATTTTGGTACCCCTAGATTTTCAAGGTACACCCAACTGACCTGACCGGTCAGTTGAAACGCTTGCCCAGAAGTTTGTGACATAATACGTTCTTCGTATTCTCAGACTTTCGGGTGTGTGTGATCATACACAGGCTTCTGCAAAAGCTTCTGTATACAAAGTGATGCCCCTCAGGGTTCCTACTCTCTCCAGTCCTATTCAAATTTGTGAGCGACGAAAATTTTGGATTTTTAAACCACTCATGAGTAGTCAGATTTTTAGTCTAGTTATGCGTGGTTGCGATATGGTTCCTTGCCCAAGAGCCCAAAATACCTATACTTGAGGTTTAGCAGCGTTAGTCGTCTCGGGAATGTTTCCGTTTGTGACATTTTTATCACATGATGCAATTTACGTCTTTCGAAACGAGGGAATGTCTGTCCATGGGGTGACAAAATCATCTAGTCTTTCTAATACCGATTCAGTGATAAAATTACCTGAGTGGTATCAACTTTATGATACTACATGGTATACCTGCTAAAGTTGTCAACTTTGGCTCAACTATCCGGACACGCGAACACTTTCTAACATGAAAAAAACTGGTTCCTGCTTATCTTTACAGAATTATTCGGTGAACAATAAGTAGTTTTTCCCTGGGCCACGTTTCGTTTTCGACAAAAAAAGATTCATCAGGTCAATTGAGCCTGTCACCAAGTTGGCAAGGTTTTAAAGCAGAGAGAACCAATCAGTAAGACCTCTTCAGATTAGCAGATTAGACCAGTGCTGAAAGTCAGTTAAAGATACCACTCATTCAGAACGGAGACACCTAATGATTGCTGAAATAGTGGAAGGTATCAAAGCATACCTGAATGTCACTAACTTCGCTTTTGACTGCGTGGTTTGCACTCAAGAACAAGATATAGCAATGAGATATCCAATATCCTCGGTTTCTGTAAATATTTTTGTGGAAGATTTTGAATAGAAAGCCTTTACCGGATTGCCATACCCACCTGTCGTTATGTAAATGACACTTTCGTCGTGATGAAACAAGACAAGGTTAGTGAATCTTACAACTACCTGAATGACCTGAATCCGCAAATCAAAATTATTATGGGGATAGAGTTAACTTCGGGTACAGTGTCCTTCTTAGACTGCCTGCCACATAAGGTCCGGGGGAAACTAAAAACCACGGTGTATGAGAAGTCAGCTGGGGCGATTTTGATTTTTCGTCTGCTCNCAGACAGGATTACGGCCTGAAAGAGTTGGCTTTGATCGAACTTTCAAACTCCGTCAGGTGCTAGAACAACGTCATACGTACAAAAGACTCATAATTTTGGTACCCCTAGATTTTCAAGGTACACCCAACTGACCTGACCGGTCAGTTGAAACGCTTGCCCAGAAGTTTGTGACATAATACGTTCTTCGTATTCTCAGACTTTCGGGTGTGTGTGATCATACACAGGCTTCTGCAAAAGCTTCTGTATACAAAGTGATGCCCCTCAGGGTTCCTACTCTCTCCAGTCCTATTCAAATTTGTGAGCGACGAAAATTTTGGATTTTTAAACCACTCATGAGTAGCCAGATTTTTAGTTTAGTTATGCGTGGTTGCGATATGGTTCCTTGCCCAAGAGCCCAAAATACCCATACTTGAGGTTTAGCAGCGTTAGTCGTCTCGGGAATGTTGCCGTTTGTGACATTTTTATCACATGATGCAATTTACGTCTTTCGAAACGAGGGAATGTCTGTCCATGGGGTGACAAAATCATCTAGTCTTTCTAATACCGATTCAGTGATAAAATTACCTGAGTGGTATCAACTTTATGATACTACATGGTATACCTGCTAAAGTTGTCAACTTTGGCTCAACTATCCGGACACGCGAACACTTTCTAACATGAAAAAACTGGTTCCTGCTTATCTTTACAGAATTATTCGGTGAACAATAAGTAGTTTTTCCCTGGGCCACGTTTCGTTTTCGACAAAAAAAGATTCATCAGGTCAATTGAGCCTGTCACCAAGTTGGCAAGGTTTTAAAGCAGAGAGAACCAATCAGTAAGACCTCTTCAGATTAGCAGATTAGACCAGTGCTGAAAGTCAGTTAAAGATACCACTCATTCAGAACGGAGACACCTAATGATTGCTGAAATAGTGGAAGGTATCAAAGCATACCTGAATGTCACTAACTTCGCTTTTGACTGCGTGGTTTGCACTCAAGAACAAGATATAGCAATGAGATATCCAATATCCTCGGTTTCTGTAAATATTTTTGTGGAAGATTTTGAATAGAAAGCCTTTACCGGATTGCCATACCCACCTGTCGTTATGTAAATGACACTTTCGTCGTGATGAAACAAGACAAGGTTAGTGAATCTTACAACTACCTGAATGACCTGAATCCGCAAATCAAAATTATTATGGGGATAGAGTTAACTTCGGGTACAGTGTCCTTCTTAGACTGCCTGCCACATAAGGTCCGGGGGAAACTAAAAACCACGGTGTATGAGAAGTCAGCTGGGGCGATTTTGATTTTTCGTCTGCTCATCCGAAGTCGGTATTCGCTAGTATTGCCTCGTCATTGTATAGCCTGTGCACGGAAGAGGTTGATCGGACAGCAGCCAAAATTGAAGTATAGAACAAAATTCGGGGAAGTGGATATCCAGCTACGTTGACTGGGAGTCAAGTGCGAAAAGTGTTGGTACCGGTGGTGCAAGCCAAAAGGGAATGAATTAGGATTGCCTTATGCAATACAAACCAGGGGTATTGGAGATTATTCGAAGGACTCCAAACATGGCTAGCAAAAGAGTAGCTTTCCAGATGGAATACACTGCGCTCTGCAATGGCAAATTGAAGGATCGCCTCCCGGCAAACAGATCCAAGGACTATGTCTACAAAACTAAGTGTAACGACTGTACTAAGGTCCATATACAACAGACGGCCATGGAACTTCACACCAGAATCGGAGACCATAGATGGAAAATAAACAGACTGCAGAGTAATGCAGATGAGAACCAGACGTTACTAGAAGACTCAACAACGATGGACTGGAGACACAGGATAAACTTAGAAAATGTTGAAGTTTTGAGACTGGTAACCAAGGCTGTGGAAATCGCTAAGCATCCTAGTGTAGATAGAATAAGGGGCAGTATCTTCTTAGCTGTGTACTTTTGAATCGCACTGGAAAGCACAATGGATTGTTGTGCCATAAAAATATCTCTCCTCACCTTATGATGCCACGAAGTCAGCTAAACAGTTATTCATTCAGCTGTAAACGGCGCACCAAGGTACAGTGGTTCCAATCGGTACAGCTTTGTTCAGGGATAATAAGGGAATGACTGCTTCATGTTGGAAGCGACGTCCCAATCGGCTCTTGACGTCAAACTGTTTTGTCTGTCTGATTAGGCAAGGGAGCGAGACAGCAGTGCGCTCAAGGAAACAACTTTGGTGCGGTGTAACGAAAGCGCACCGAGCAGCGTCACTGGCCATTGGTTTTTCCAGTCCATGAGACACACTCAAGGCAGACAGCATTTACCAATGTGAATGAGCTGGCTAGTAAGCTTTCATGCTTCGTTGCCAGGACGGAACGCCCCTGGGTCGTCTGCATTTGATGCACGACTGAGCACGGTCTCTTGACATACAAAACACGTTCTAACCTCGTAACCTGAAGGATCAGCTGGTCGATCTATGGAGGTGTTTTCCTGAAAACTGTCTGGCACACCCCAGTTTAACTGACCCAACGTTCCTACCAGTAGCACGTAAAGCGTCGGAGACATCGGTGATGGAATATGGAATCTTTGAAGATATGCACAAAGTGGCCACGTTTGTCTTTAAAGTAGGATGCATAGCCCTGCAGTGGTGTACATTCTGAAAGTGACAACCAAGCTGATGTCATACCGCCCCACAAATGTCATAAGTTACCAAACGTTGTTTTGGTCTTACCGATACCGGAGGAGAGTTCGTCTTTTGCCTATCCACAACATTGATCACTTCCTATTTAAGATAGTTTGGTCCTACCTAGCCTCACAGTAACACCTCACACTTTCCAGGTGTGAAGCGCATGCTGAATATGGCAGAAACATTAGTTAAGTGCCCGATCCCGGGAAAGTGACAGGTTCAGCGTGGGTGAATGCCTCCGACGCATTTCAATCCCACAGGTGATACGCAGATGAGGAGGGGAACACTTGCTTGACACCATTGGAAGTGTCGAACTCGGAAATGTCGTAGAAACTTGCCCGGCCTCTTTTAAGGATAGTGTACAGCAACTCCTATAGAAACCTAAGGCTCCACAAAAAACCGAATTTTCCAAACCCACCGGTGTAAGGCATGACTGCCCTCTCCCGCCATCCCTTTTCAACTTTATCATTGATATGCTTCTAGAAACTTCACTTCCAGGGTCCGACATCCCAGTGATCGAAATTCTCCCGGGGCGTTCGCTCACGGACAGTATGCAGACAATACTGCTCTCCTCGGTTCGAATTCTTTCACGGCACATGTCACCTTAGATGACCTAAATAATTCTGCAGCCGGACCTGGTGTACGTTGTATAGCGAAGAAAGATGGTGTACTGTCACACGACTTGGTGGGATCAAACTCAAACCTCATACTTACTGACCAGCCAATCGACGTCGTGGATAAATTTACTTACCTGGGTCGTCCCGGCGGAATCACTGAAGATGAGATTATTTCTCAAATCTGCAAGACCAGGGCGGCTTCTGTTAACCTCAGACACCCGTGGTGTAGGAAAGATACCAGATTTTTATCGAGAGCGGAATATACACCGCAACGGTGAGATCTATATTGAGTAAGGGCCTTGGCCCCCATGGGCAGGTGCCCGAAAACCTTTGATGTTTCACCGTGGGTGACCGGGACGATTCTAACGAATTTGCAATGTTGAGATAACACCTATCGCTAGATCTTTAGGCTCAGCTGATACAGCAGTCAATCAGTCGAGCTCTAGATAGCTCAGTGCTTACGGAGTGAACTAAATGACCGGAAGGTTCGTGGTTCGAACCTGACTCCGGCATCCAGGCTGCTCCTGCCTAGGCTTGAACAACTTGGCGGTATCTGTGGCATTCTGCTCGGTGTTTTAAGAGTAAGATAGACTCACCTTCTCTAGAGAAACCATTTCCTTCTGGAATAGCTCGACTTCCTCCGTCAGCTTATCCTTGAAAGGAACATTTCTCATCTAGAAGATAACGAGAGAACAAAATTTAAAAGTAAATATTACGATGCCACACCTTTGCATCCTTGTATTTGTCGTCAAAGAACCCTTCGGGAAGCTTGGAGCTTGAGACAGAATCGCGAGTTTTCTCTGCAGGATTCTTCTCACCAGTGACTACCACCTGAATGGAATTTTTGATGGCCGGTGGATTGGCGTTTTCGACTGGTTGACTTGAACCCTCAACCGGGTTTGAAGCCATCTAGAGAAACCACAGTACATACAACTTCCGGGGAAGCCTACTTACCGTATCTGTGGTCCGTGGTACCTTGAGCTCCAGAGTCGAGCAAGATGCCGATGACGGTGGGATTGTACGTTTTAAGGGTGCCGGCGGCACGCGGGTTTCATTCTATGCAAGTAGTATATTAACCAAATTCACCTGGAGAAGCGTATTTACCTACCTGTTTATGGGACTTGCTCATCACGTGGGCATTCCAAGCAAGTTCTGATTTGATCTGCACACCACATACAACACAAGAGATTCTACCCAACTGGTTATAACTGCGGGGCGTCGTTATTGGGAAAGAGAGCAACTCATACCATACCGGGCATGAGGGTGGTCGATTTTCTTAATTTGTGATTTTGTCACTTTGATCAGCTGTCTAACATCGGATTTTGGAATGAATTCCGAGGCCTTCATCTTGAAGGGGAGTAAGGTAGACCCTGAAAGGCAAGAGCGGCAAAAGGCTGTCGGTGAGTTGTATCCTCCCAACTATGTGAAGAGCTATATTAAGTAGAACCTAACCAGCTGGAAACTAGAATATCCGTCCGGTTATTCGGAAATCACTCCGCATGTAAAATCGCAAAAGATTATCTAAGTTGCTGTACTCACAGCTATGCTACCTCCTGTGTCAAATTCGGTGCTCTGCCGGCGTTCCCTTCCCATAGGCCTACAGTTCGACGAAGGACTCGAACAAGCCAAGGCTCAGTGAGTCCTCATTTGTCAACCGCTCTGCACACGCAACGTCAATCATTGTGGCCATGTCCGATTGGGCCGTTCTAACCCTTCATCAGAAGACCATCACGGTTCATCCATGGTTCTTAAAGATCTGTTTACAGCGCTCAACGGTGGCATCTGATAAGACACACAAAAACGAGCTGATTGTAGTCGAAAGAAATATAGAAACCATCTGCATGTTGGCATCACTTCTTCCTTAGATTTACGAAGTAATTCGGATTCATCCTGGATACCCACGAGCATCAGCCCGACCCAGAGAAGGTCACTGCCCAAAGGAGCACACGCAAGTTATGGTTTTCCTTCGATTTACCCCTACAACAGTACTTTCTTGCTTGTTGTGCACTGGGAGCATGCTTCTTTCAGTCACCTGCTGCAGAAAAAAACCATCCCTCCTAGTTTATGGGATGAGGGCGTGACTTCTAAAAGCTGACCTGAAGCTGTCACCTTATCGAGGCGGTCGGGTTTCTGTACTGTAATGATCCTGTGGGCTGTAGTGGTTGCAAATCAGTTCCTAAAGGTTCAACCATGCAAAGAAGATCAAAAGGGAGCGATCCGATGAAGAGAGCCTCCGTACTGCCAGTAATCGTATTACTAGGTGGTCTGGGGGCAAAGTCATACTGTGGGCTGTGATAGGAGTGTGAAGGCAGTAAGGCGTTTCCCCCAAGGCGACAGGGTGCTCGAAAGGCACCTGATGTGCGTAACCACATTAGGAATGAGACAGTAATGCATTATTCTCTGCGTCCTCGGGTAGCCAAGTGGGTCGGACAGTTGAGTCATGGGCTTCGAAAAGGGTCCCCAATAAAGTCTTAAAAACTATTGCCTCGCGGTTCGAATTTTTGAGTCACAGGGTGTAACGGTGATACTACTGATCGGGAGGCACGCGAGTAGTATGTGTTGTTCGTAGAATTTCGCTTTGTGTCGATTGAGAAATGGAATTCTGTTGCGGAATTCGCGGGGCCACTTTGTAACATTTGCTTTTATTTGACCGACGAATGATTGGAGGCAATGAATCTCCAGGAAGACTCGTTCGGGAGAAGATCTGTGTCCAGTTTTTGTAACTAAGATGCAGATTAGAGTTCTGCTTCCTTGTTCAATGGTCTGTAACCGGTCAGTTGGCATTTCCGAATAGATAACTCCGCAGCGAAGGCCTTCTTCGTTTCGAGGGTAGGGGCAGGGTCGCCGAACAAAATCCTACATATTTCTACTGCATTGTGGGTCAAACTACTGAGCAAGGCTCAAGCTAGGGTAACTCAACCAAACCCTTCTGTCAATATTTTTGTGTGCTTAGTTTTATACTTACCATATATACTCGCACTGAACCTTTGTATGTACATTTAAGCTCATGTAGGCTTGTTCTAAGACAAGTAAAACGTTGCTTACCCTCGGAAACCTGGAGTCTGTTCTAACTCGTTCTCGGACATTCTAAACGTCTTACCTTCTTGGACTTGGGTAAACGGGAAGTAGTGATCACTCACCGACCTTGCCCCACACCCCCTCTCCACCGATCGAGTGATGTAGTGCGATCAACTCATTTTCCAGTACCATAACCACTGTTCTGTGTCTAAACCATCGCCCAGAAAAATAAATCTAATAATCACTTGCTAACCTCAAAAGATTTGATCCATGTTGCAGCCTTCAATGTCCTTACTCTACGTCAAATTCGGCAACAGGATCACTTGCTTAAACCTTGCTTTTCCTCTCTCTCTCTCTCTCTCTCTCTCTCTCTCTCGACGTGTTGTGTCTCCGAAACACGCATAAGAGACCCCACATCGGTCGTGTACCTCAAGCCGCTTAGGAGGAGCTCAGGTGTCCCATATTTCAACCTTCGAGTGTCCGGTGATCCTGACGCAGTGGCTCGTGGTATGGGTACCACCGCTGTTTGGGAGTTGCTCTCAGATTCAAGGCCGAAAACGCGTTACTGGACTGGATTCCGAAAAGCATTTGCGGTGTGCTGTTGTCTGGCTCAACTAAAATTAATGCAGGTCGATGCGGTAAACGGCGTTGATTTGTCGCATCGGAATACGCTCCAACAGACTATAGTTCTGAAACTGAGGACGGATTTTGTCGAGATTAGTGACGACTGCTTCGGTCATCAAGAAGGACGGATGATATGAATGCCCGAGCTGGTCGGCTGAATCCGGAAGAAACACAGCCAGGTATTAGGTAAATTAGGCGATACGTAATAATGGCTTTTCAGCTGCAAGAACCTACCGCGGCCTAGCTACTATCTTCAACGAAGAAATCACGACGGTTGAGGTATTGCCAGGTTACCCAATTCTAGACATGAGCAATCGAGATACCGGGTTGGGTTCGAACCACGAACCTTCTGGTCAGTAAGTCTCAACTACTGGACTATCTCGAGAGGAGCAATGAAGGACAACGACTGTCATAGCAACAGAGGAGAGCAGAAATTCGTTGACCATAACGAAAATAGATGGCTCATAAGGAAGTCTAGAATTCAACTTAACATATTACCAACAACCACACTGCTCCATAGCATTCGCAAGAGATCAGACGGAACTTTGTAAAATTCACAAAGATAACATCAAGGCGAACACTAAAGTCTAACGCGACCCTTCATTTCTACTCGACCATCAGGCGCTGAGGACGGGAGTGAAAGACCCTCGAGATGTTGCTTAGTGTTGGTTTCATAAGTCTTTCGAGGAACTGTAGAGAATAACGGTTAAAGATGGGTGTCACTCGCAGGTTCTTTTTGCTCCGACCATTTTTAGCTAGGTTTCACAAAGCCATGCTTCCATCTGGGGGGACCTGTCCGGAGTTTAGCTATAGCAAAGGATGTGAGAGACCCGTGGAATAATGGAATTAGCAGTGGCTGGAAAAGAAGGGTGCACTTAAACCGAATGAATATGAGAATTAGGGTGGAGTTTCAAAAGCGATTTAAGCACGTCTTTATCACTCAGGTTCAGATTGCTGATAGAAAAAAGGTAACACAACAGGAAGCGGTAAGTCGAGCCTGTCGCTGTAGAGAAAACAGAGAAGTATTGGGTGAAGAAGACATCCACCGTCAAAGTACCATCAGCAAACAGCTCTTCAACGTCGTCAGTTGGGGTAAGCGGAGTTGTTCAAGTATGGGGGGGGGTGGTAAAGTCCTTGGTCAGCGCTTGTCTGACCTGCCTGCCTGCATTTGAGAGAGAGGGACCATACCAAAAACAGGAGAGTCAGTGATTGCGTCCATTTTCAAAAAAGGGGCTCGTAGTGAGTGCCGTAACCAAAGAGGGATAAGCTTGATCCCGGTCGTTATGAGACTGTTGGCGTCAATTGTGCCTCACTGCCTTATCGTAGCTCGTGAAACACTAAATCGATAGCAACAAGCAGGATTCCATCCTCATAATGGTTGCTCTGACCAAATCTTCACACTACGCCAAGTGCTAGAACAAGGTCATGCGTGCAAACAATCCGAAATTTCAATATTCCTGGATGTTAAAGGCGCATACAACTCGGCTGATCATTCTGTTCTTTTTGACACGCTTGCTCATCAAGGAATGCCCCGGAAGTTTGTGACAATACGTTCTTTCTAATCTCAGAATTGTGAGAGCATACGAAGAGCAAACTAAAAGCCTCCGTAGACAAGGTGGTGTCCATCACGGGCACCCACTAGCTCCATTCCTATTTAATTTCCTGATCGATGAAAATGAGACGAACCCAGGAAGGTCTTCAAAACACCTGTGTTCAAATATCCTCCGACGAAACCCTTATCGATCTGGAATATGCAGGCTACGTCATTCTCGGCTTCGAAGAGGATGATAAGGCGCAGGTGTTTTGGATGAGCTAATCAGTCATCTCGCCCTTCCTATGCACTTTACATCCACAAAGTGTAAGGTCATGCTCCGCAACATGCAGTCACTGAACATGCCATTTACAATCCAGGAAGAGACACTAGAAGTTGTGGAGCGCCTTACGTATCTTGAAAGTTGTATTGGTTCTGATTATGGTGTGGCAGATGAGGTCAAACCACGAATCTGCACGGCTCGGGTCGCGTTGGCTAACTGGAGACCCCTGTGGTGTCAAAGCGGTATATCCCTGAATCTCAAGAGAAGTATCAGGCTATACTGCGGGCTGGGTTGTTGCATGATTGTGAGCAGCAGAACTTAGACGCCTTCAGGTGTTCGACAATCGTTGTCTCAGGACCAGAGCTCGTGTGGGTTGGAGTCGAAGAATCCGCAGCAAGGCAAGTAGAAACCGAGTGCTCGATTGTGCGACGGGGACTTACATTGAAGCTGCGTTGAGTAGGCTGTGTATTCCCGACCTAAAGCTGCCTCGAAGAATCGCAAGGCAAGTAGAAACCGAGTGCTCGATTGTGCGACGGGGACTTACATTGAAGCTGCGTTGAGTAGGCTGTGTATTCCCTCCCGAAAGCTGCCACCCTGACGTGGTGGTCGGGCTTCAGTGCTGCAATGATCCCGCGGGCTACACTGGCTGGAACTTCGTTCCACAAGGTGCAACCATGCCAGGAAGACCAAGAGCAGCGAGACCCCGTACTACGAGTAATCGTGCTACGAGGCGGT